ACGCACTTTCGAAATTATTACCTTTTCTGGAGGGAAAAACACATTTACATGCGACACAATAATGATCTGCAAGCTTTTGTAAAATGACAGCGGAGTGTATGGAAGCATCTGGAGCTCGCACGTTTACATGATCTAGGCAGGATGATACCAGATTTTCATTTAATACTTCTTCGCGGGTCGCACTCTGAATGGTAGGTATGATTCCATGTTCGGCAAGTAGTGATAAATAATCACAAACACAATTTTTGGAAGTTTTCAGGGTGTCAATGTTGATATCTCCCACCAAATATAAATGTGCTTCATAAGAAAATTCTCTCAAATTTTCCCTCAGCTCCTCTAAGAAGCCAGAGCAGTTGGACGAAGGAGGTCGGTAAAGAGCAAGCAAGCAAACCGCATAGTTAGAATTAGAAACCTTTAGCATCAAGCTCTCCGAGCGTTGAAATGTGACATCAGTTTGAGTTGTTGACCATGAGTTCTTTATAAATACGCCGATTCCTCCTCCTCTAGTAATTGGCCGTGTATAAAAGAAATTTTGAAATCCTAAAATATTAAACTGTGACAGATGATTAGCACTGACATTGATTTCTGTTAGTACAATTGCATCAATTTGGTCCCGCATTTGATCAACAACTGTCTTAAATTCATCCCAGTATTTTCGAATACTGCGAATGTTTATGTGTAAGACCATGAAAGAGTCGGTTGAAGAAGAAGAAAACGAGCTATTAAACGAGAGAAAATCGGCGTACTGTAAAAAACTAGCCATGTCGGTTATGTGATTAGGTCCAGGTCACTTCTCTGCTGAATCCGAACCGGAGAAGCGCCCTCATCTTTTTTGGCATAGATTCGAGCATTTTTGACCCACACAAATTTGTAACCGCGTTCTTTTCCAAGAGTACGTGCCTGCCAGAAAAGTTCTCTGTTGGTTTGAGTTAAGCTGTCGTTGAAATACAGTCTTTCGGGTGGATTGTCACGAGAAAATTGCCTGAGCTTGCTACGAGCTTGCATCCATTTGTCTTTAGTGGCTACAGATGTAAACTTGACCAAAATAGGTGGTTTTATAGATCGTTTGCCTGGTAGCCTGAAAACCGACACGACATCAGCTGGTTGATGTCCCGGAATTCCTAGCTTGCCTGCCAGCCCCGCTAAGATGGAAGGGAGAGCCTCGTCGGGATTGACGGTCATTCCATGAATTTCCATAATATGTTGACGACCGCGTTGGTCAGCGTCGTTCATATCGGTTTGGAGGCTTTGGATAGTATGTGCCTGTTCGCAAACCGTGTCCTTTAGTGAAGCCACTTCCGTACGCAGCTCGTTCATGTCGGTCGCATGAGCAGACACCGTGCCGAGGAGGCTATCGTATTTCTTTCCTAGGAAGGAAATGGAAGTTTGAACCTCCTCCACAGTCACTTTCATGCGATCTATGGTAGGCTTGAGGAGCAAGAGCTCATTCACCTTTGCGGGAAGCTCGAGCAGTAAATTTACGCTAGCCTTCAGAGAAAGTATTGAATCTAGCTTTTCGTTGATGGTCAGGATTTGCGCCGCGAGTGTCGTGGTTTCGCAGGACGAAATCGAGTCAGAGCTAGCATCGACCCCGTCTATATCAGCACGATTGTTCTTAGAACGGCAAACTTTGCACCTCCATTTTTCTTTTTTGTCGGGGCTCATGGCAGTAAACGTGGACTCAGCAATGCCGGAACACGTTTTCCCGAGATGATAGTTATGCTCGCAAACTGAGCATGTCATGAGTCTACCATCAGGCAAAATGCCTTTTTGGCAAGCATCGCAAACAAGGGACATAATCGTCGAATTAAATGGCATTAAAAAGAGTAGAAAAAATGTAAGTGCTGTAAGCACACCTAGGCAGGTTACACCAGCGAAACAGTATATCAAGAGCAGCTTGGCACGGTCACCGAGAAAATGGAACTCCTCAAAGCACTGATGGTCGGTTACCGGCAAGGCTCGTCCGTGGATGTTCGCTGATTGGCCCAGGGTTGATGTTGAGTCGCAGAAAGTCGCCGAACGTCACGGATGGGCATGGGCAACGACTGCTGACTGAATGGTCGATGTATGGTAATGGCGGTGATGAACGGGGCTGCAGTCGCGATCTTCGAAGCAGTAACCCTTCATTCACACTGGAAGCGGATCCGCGTTCGCGACGCGGTTGCGAAAGCGGTTGTATAAAGATCCAGTGCAATTGCACGCGCATTTGATGTCATCGTGTGCGCGTACAATTGTACTGAATTCTTATACAACCGCTTTGCGAACGCGGATCCGCTTCCAGTGTGAATGAGCCCTAACTCGGAAGCCACGACTGGATGTCGATCCTTGAGCCGGTGAGATGAGGTCGCCTAACTCCCCGTTAAACCATTTAGCAGGCAAGTTAAAGGTCATCGAATAAAGATTTTAAATTACATTTCTCAGAGCGATTAGAACGAATGCCCGGACATATTCACTTCTTCTTCTTCAGTCAGAAAGTGTAAGTTCATACAAATACTGAGGCGTTCCATATAGAATACGGTACTAAGAGGGCAGATCCAACATTGGTTTTATTTTTATTACGAGGACATTTGTACATGAAAACGGTCCAAACTAAAATACTTGCGTACACCACTCTCAATAGGCCGAGGTTGGAATATAGAACTATTCCTTGAAACTTAAATCAAAAATACTTTATCGGCAGTATTGCTTCAGTATAAAGCAGGATAATTCGGTTCATACTAAAATATGGTCTCCTCTAAGTGTCAGTCAGCTTAAAGGTTTCATTGGTTTATGGCTGCTCAATCACAGGAGGTACCTCGCGACGATGTCCTATTCTCATAAAAGGTTTTATAGCTCATTCTAATTTTGTCAAGCTAACATTCTACCAGCCATGAGCAATTCCCCTCGTCATGATTGCTCTAACAATGTTAACATTCCATTTTACAAAACTAATTTCTTTAAATTTCCTCTTCGTTCTGGCCACGATTGACTCGAATGAGTTGACAAGTAAAATATCTTCATGTCACTTCTTCGTGATTCTTAATGACCCTGCACTTATCAACATGTCTCTCGCTCGCTTAGAAACAGCGTTTCTGATTCGTTTAAAGCATTAACTGTCCCATGGAGCGAGCCGACGTCATCAGCTTTGAAGCCGCGCCAATCGGCGCCTAAACTGCCCGATCCCAAAGGAGCGGAGTGAGATTTCGGCTTCGGTCCCATTGGCTGGCGCGCGTCATAGTTTCAAGAAACGAGGCTCCCATTGGGCGCTGCACGTCAGTTTCAACTAGAGTTCCAAATAAGACCAACACGGCGGCCCTGACGTCACGCAGCTGCGGTGGCGCTGTTGACGGCACGGCGCATGCGCACACGCTTCACTCCTTCCAAATTTGGTTTCCGCGCATGCGCAGTGCCCACACCTGGTGTGGGCAAACGCGGGCTTGTTTGTAAACAGCGTGTTGGTCTTGCTCCCTACGGGAGCCAGAGTTGCGCATTTGTTTTCCCCGCGCCGCCACGCCGCTATTCGCCGAGATCCATCACGTGAGGAGCAAAGCATCCGGTGGCGTGCAAGAAAGCCACCTTTACGGTCGCTCCGCCGGCGTTTCTCTTGCCCCGGCGTATGTTCCCCCGCTTTCCGCCTCCTTTTCCTCCTCTCCTGTTTTCCATGCGCGGCGGCGCGCGCGGCGCCGCTATTCGCCAAATTTAGTCACGTGAGGAGCAAAGCATCCAGCTTTGCTCCTCACGTGCGGGAAAGCCGGCGCTACGGCCACGCGCCGAGGCTGAATGCGCAACTCTGCTACCGTAGGTAGCATATACAGGAACTCTAGTTTCAACGGCCGCCAGCGCGCCGGTGCAAGGAATCGGCTGACGCGCTTGCGCAAACCGCCGGCGCGCGGGAAAGGGATCGGCCGTGCCGCCGCTGCGGAGGGCGGCGGCACGGCCGATGTCAGAGCAGCGCGGCCACTTGACGAAGTTAAGCGCTAGAACGACATTGATGCTTTCACAATCACAACTCATAAGAAGTGCTTAGGTGTACCTGGAGCCCTTTTTGTCTCTGCGTGGGTGATTGTTGGGACTATTCCCTGTGGAATTGTCATCAATATTTGTATCGGTGTCATTCAGTCGACTACTTCTTTCTCTTTTGTATAGATAGTATTTATAGAATTATACATATGTTTTATGTGATCCATTTTTCCTATATAACGCCACATTGGAGCATTTAGAGGTAATGAATTAAAGAAATAGCTAGGAAAAAAGCAGCGTGGTATATTTTCCCGCAGTGAAACATTTTTATTTGCTTTTTATTTTGCGTCCTAATTTTCTTGCAATATGACAATACTTTTCTTGTGTTAGTTTCTTTCGCGTTCTCATTTACTTGCGATAGGATGTTACGTCACCGACGACCGCAGTGAATGGTAGAAAGATTAAAGCTCAACGTTTCGTTGGCCTATGCAAGACCACTGTTTTGTGCTCGTTTTCAGCCTGATATACATCTTTTTTGCTTTACGATTTCTTTATTTAAAATACAAAATAATTCACATAAACAGGATCAAACAGACAAACGGTAAATAAGAAATTGGTTTCATTATTTTTCGAAAACATATTTGATTTTAATCAATATTGTAAAACCGATTCGATTTAAATCACGATATAAATACCCACTTGAATCACGATTTAAATCGTCTTGATTTTGTCTCATCACTCTGGGGTAAAGTCGTCATGTTTAACCTTCACCGGCTGACTTGCACCCTCGTTTTTATTGTTCTGACTCGCATGCGTTCACTATTTTAGAGCGATAGCTGTACATGGCAACCCTCAACGGACTTTCCTCGCTCGTGTTGCTCTGACGGCATGACGTCAACATGTCAAGCGACGACTTCATGTCACGCGACACTACAGTGCCACATGACGTTAGTGTCACGTGGCGTCATGTTCTGAGTGCGGCTTAAAGGTGTGCCAATTATTTATTTATTTATTTAATCATATTTGACCCGGACGTGTCTCGCGTCGTGCGCTCATTCCAGCCCTTTTACCTCTACCTTGCGCACCAATCTGTGCACTGTGGAAATGACGACGACCTCCTTCAAGCACCACAAGAGAACATAGACAAGTTTCCCTACATCGGTGAAAGGAATCGGACGATGTATGCAGGTAAGAGATGTCACTAAATTGAAGATGAACGTAACTGTGATCATACGAATTTAGGCTAGCCCTATAGCTATACTATAAACAGGTGGTTTGGTTTCAGTTCGAACCAGTTTATTAAAGAATGCTCTGAAAGATAAGTGTAGGTGAGTTATGCGGCCAAAAGAAGAAAATAAAAAGCGACAAATCGTCAGAAGTAGAATAATTAACTAACGTTTTGTTCATTACCCTTTTAATGCGTTAAAATAAATATGTGGCTCCGATGAAAAAATTCCTTAGCGTCATCGGAAACCACTATATTAGTTTATTTTAAAAAGACTTAAAGCCCGTATGGTTCGTGGAGGTGCGCTAAAATCTCCACTCATGCAACAGGCACAGGAATTTCGGCGCGAAAACGCGGATAACGATGTTAAAATCCGCGTTTTCGGACTGCTGGCCTTGCGCCTGTTGAGGGAGTGGTAACTTTATCGCGCTCCCGCGCTTCTCTCGTGCTTCAAGCAGTTCAAACGATTTAGTAACTTTCTGGAATCGGTGGACTAATGCGTCTCAGCTCGGAGCGTGGAGCCGAAGCTTGCGCTGGGAACCTTCTGGGTTCGATCCCCACCGCCCCCTTCCGTTTAGACCTGGATGAGTTTCGTATCGGCACGCGTTCGTGTAATCGCAAATGTGTGATTCAGATAAAAAAAAAAAAAAAACAGTTTAGCGGTATTACTGCAATGGCTAAATTTCTCATCTACAGCTAAGGGACCGGTCACCCGTTGAGGCGTACCAATTAAGGCTGTATGAACGTGCAAAGCGAGACAACATTTTTATTCAGTAATTTTTGAACGAACTAAAGGTCTGCCGGGTTTCTGATTGTTTTTGTTTGTGTGATTATTATCTACTACCACATTAGTTGGGTAAATTGTTCTATCAGTTTGAATAGCACAATTCTCTTGAAGATTCCGTGATATTTAAGTTTTGATTTTTATTTGTTTCTGATTTTCAATTATTACCCAACGAAACGGCCAAACGCGAAAGATGCCAAAACATAACTACCGAATGAATGTGTTTTGAGTATAAACTCTGCTTTTGTTTGTATATTAGTTTTCAAGTGTGAATCAATGCATAGATTGATGCGTTCTTTTTTAATGTCTTCCATGTAATAAAAATATAAACGAGGCATCGGTGGTCAAATATGTTAGTGCACCGCAGCTCGTAGCACTTGGAACGAAATTTCTCGCTGAAAATCCTTCGAAACCTGAGTGCGATAGACTACTTTAAAAAAATCCCTGCGTGCAACACTGCTCGCGTTCGATTATGAGACCTCTTTGGCAACATGGAGGAGTGTCATGGTTTCGATTTTAATTTCCCCGTTGGCGAAGTACTGCATCTCAGCGAGGCATATACGCAGGGCGTAACTAGTAACAAGTTGCTTCTACCTAGTTACTTTTTTGGTAACGGGTAACCTGTTTAGCTATGAGCTTTACAGGTTACTCGTTACTGAACAGCTTTATTAAAAATGTGCGCCAATGTACTCATGCGAGATAGCCGCAGTGTGCCGATTGAAATAATTTTGTCTTACGATCTATATACGTTTTTTTATGAAACATTGCCATTTGTGAAGACGAAGAGGAAAAATTGTTTCCTTTAAATCACAGCAAGCGGACTGCCTGAAGACTTGTAATTCTAACTAGTCTAAATATTCCTCATTCGACCCTTGAGAGAACAGCCCACCACAGTGACATAGGTGTGCCTCCTTAGAAGGACAGGTGGGGGAGCAGCGAGCCTACCGAGTTGCGTTGGTAGGGCGAAACTAACCCTCATGGCAACGACGTCAGAAAGAGTGCCTTTTCACTTTAGCCCTACCGTGACCGTATAAACCCGAACGTCAATCCTTTTTTAGAGCGCAGCTCTTAGGGGCCCGTTCCCGGCTTGAGCGGCGTCGGCGTCGGCGTCAGCGTAACCAAGGTCACCCCAAGGTCACGTGACCCCCCAAGGTCATCTCAAGATCACCCCAAGGTCACGTGACCCCCCCTGAGGTCACGTGACCCTTCCCCCGAGGTCAGGTGACCCCCCTCTTTCAAGGTCACGTGACCCCCCTCCCCGAAGTCACGTGACACCCCCGAGGTCACGTGACCTCCCCGATGACGTCATCGTCACTGATGACGTCACCGGCATCCGCATCGTCATCATCATCATCACTGATGACGTCACCAGTGACGTCACTGATGACGTCACCGGCATCCTCAACGTCATCGTCATCATCACTGATGACGTCATCAGTGACGTCACTGATGACGTCATTCGTGATGAAGACGATGACGATGCGGATGCGGGGGTCAAATGACCTGGGGGGGTCAAGTGACCCCCCCCCAGGTCACTTGACCCCCCCCCCCCTCCAGTACCCTCCCCTCCTCCTCCTCAAGAGCTGCGCTCTAATTCGGTGTTACACGGAGTTTTAAACGGCTTTCACTTTTGTTTTGGAACGCACAGGCATGGTGGATGCACTTGACGAGTCCATCGGGGAGGTGTTCCAAGCACTGGGCGACGCTGGCATGCTGGGGAATACAATCATCGCCCTCAGCTCCGACAACGGCGGGCTCCCGATTGGTGCCCACTCCAATCGAGGCTTCAACTTCCCCCTGCGTGGCGGAAAGGGAACCCTCTGGGAAGGAGGCTGCAGAGCGACGGGTTTCATCTGGAGTCCCCTGCTGAAGCGCAAGGGCGTCGTCTCGGACCAGATGATGCACGTCACCGACTGGCTTCCTACCCTTTACTCCGCAGCCGGTACGTTCCCGTGCAAGTTTCGGCACAGAATATATTATAGACGCTTGAAGCAGCTCTGCACGGGCGCCGCCGTAGCCGACCGTCAGTTTTTTTTGTTGTTTTGTTTCCTGTTATCATGTTTACTTCACTTAATCACTACCACGGCGGCATTGCAGGTTTTTGCCTTTTTTAAATTAATTGTGCTTTTGTCCCCAGGATTGCCCTTTGCGGAGGCTCATCAGTACCTGTTTCAGTGGCTCCGCATCTGGCTAAGACGAGAGAGGGTCAGAAATGGCCGCTTTAGCCTGGCGCGTGTGCAAGGCGTCTATGCGGAGAGGGCGTCGTCTTCTTGTTGCGCAGGAGTTGCGCAGACGTCCGAACGACGCCGAGCTCCGATTGGCTCTGATAAAAGAATAGTGGGTAGACCTTAAAGCAAGCTGCCTTGAGGTCTATTCAAAATCCTTCAATCAGAACCAATCAGAGATCAACGTCTTTCGGACGTCACCACAATCCATGTTAAAAAAGCAGATGAACTTGCGCTCCGCATACCTGGCACCTAAAGCCACGGACACACAGCTAGTACATCCTTCATAAGACAGTGTGCATACACTGCCTGTGGTATGTTTCTTACTGTATGGGGGAGAACACGATGACGACGCTCATGGCAGGACGATCGAATTTGTAGCTCTAACAAGACTACATTATTTTATGGTTATTTTTGGGTTTATTGACCAAATATTTCCCTGGTTCTTTAAGGATACGAGTTCTTTCTGTGCCAAATCAGGAGCTGTGACTCCTCCCAACAGACGCCACGTAAAATGAGCCTACCGAATCCACCACAACCTAATTAGGATAAATCTAGATCTGCCGAATCACATAACAAGCCCTATAAGACTCATGATAGTGTCATGAATGACTTCGAGGACGAAGCTGGGTGGAAAACCCAAATGCCGAAGAAGAGACGACACGGCTTAAATTCAAGCGAGCACAGAATCATAACCCAACCGGGTTATAATCTCACAGTCATTGTTAAGCCTACCGAACCAACCAGGATCAGTGATCTCTATGCCTATCTGCTGAATCGCGCTTGACTAGCTCCGCCGATGGACAAGAGTGCGGCAACGGTCGGCCATCTTTTTGGTAGAGTTATATTATCTCTAGCCATCATAGTAATATGGTGAACAGCTCAATGGCGGGAGGCAGCCATAAAATAGCCGTGGATCTAGTACACTGTACCGTGGGTGATATTTCGTTCTTGATTGAAGTTGTTAGACGAAGAGATCCTTGAAACACGGCGTGACCGGTAGCCTCATCTTTGAGAACCCTTCGAAAGTTCTACGAAAGCGCAGCACGGGGGGAAAGCAGCGCAGCTCGCACCGAAAGCAGACTCCGTACCGGCGTCTCAACGAGGTAGAGGGCCTTAGAGTGATAAACTAGTATACCGTTCATCAGGCAAAAGTGACCCCCGATTGGCCGCCGCCATGTTGTACAATTTTGACCACTAGACACATGACCAGGCCAAATCTATGACGTAACCAGACCAAATCTCTGGCGTCAACGATAAGATGGCAGCGCCCAGTGCGTGTCGGAAGCGTTGTGGGCGTTGATCGGAGTGTGTGGATTTCGTGTGGGGAATTCGGTTTTTCAGGGTTTTGTGTGCTCTCCCGCGTAGGAATAACGTGAAGTATGAGGGAATGAGGCTTTTCTTTTTTATTTAATTTAGATTAAGCCAGATTCGGTCCCGTGCTTCTCGTACGGGCTCGGATCACTAACTCGGACATCGCTCGGTCGTTCAAGTTTAATTAAAATATCCGCAATCGTTAACCACGGGAGCTCCTCGATAATCGCTGTGTCGAAGGATACGTCGAACCCATCCGGAACACGGAGTCTAAAGGTATGTAGGACGTAACCAGAACACGGAGTTCTAACGGTACGGCGGACATGCCCGGGCAATTTTCTTAGGTCAACGGTCAAGATTCGCATTTGAAGCAGCGAGAGAAGTGTTGAAATCTCCGAACTGCTGGGTGCTGAGCTATCTACAGACCACTTCACTATGCGATCCGTAGTGACGTGAAAAAGACCGACGGCGATCACTCCGGGCGGACGGCGGCTCCCGGCCGCCTGCCGGGTGCCTTCTGTGAAGGGGCGACAGTCGTGTAAGCAGTACTGTACCAGCTTCTCTTATAGTTATGTTGTTCTCGAGCAGCTTCCCGATCACTAAACCCCGCAAACGCGTGCCGAACTTTCAAAAGGTGTCTGCCAACCTGGAAAGCCTTGAACTCGGAATTTCGGATCATCTGGGAAAGTCAGGGAATCATTCAAAAAGTGGGCTAAATAAGGGAAGACGACTAGTGAAAGCGGCATGGCGGTTGCTCGTCGGCACGGCCATGCTGAATGACATTGCCGAAATGTCATCCTTCGACTCAAAAACTCAAGGAATTTGATCAAAATAGTCAGGGAAAAACTTGGAAAAGTCGGGGAATTTGAAATCAGTAGATTGTTAGACACAATGTTTGATTTTCTTGGCACTCCACGCGTTTTCACACACGACAGGCACACGCCCGTGTATCACACGGCAGCCAGGCCAAGCGGCTGCCAGCCACTTATGCAAGGTCGATAAGTCGCAAGCGTGGAACGCTTTCGGACTGCTGTAAATACACCAGCGGGAGCATCCGGTCGCAGTCCGACTGCCCACGCTAGGACACCCGACACAGACTCCGCGTCCTGGGTACGTCTGACGTATCTTTAGATTTTGCATCCTAGGTACGTCAGACCTATCTTTAGACACAGCGCCTGATAATAGTAGTGAATAGGGTCACGTTCAGTGTGCAAGTCACTTTATTACACTCAGAGAGCTGAATTCCACTCGCGTTGCGCAGGTAGTTCCCGAGCTAGGCATGCACTTGAAGACTATGTTTCACTCTTTCATAAAGCAAGCTTTGCGGGACCCCTCCGCCCTTTTGCACCCATTCGCAGGTCGTGTCGCCTTTCCTCACGTAACTCCCGCAGGTCCAGCGAGTTGCCGAGCCGCTGTAGCCCCGGCGTCGCTCGGTACATACAAGAGGCGGCTCACGTCGGTTGTCCAGCAGCACACTGAAGGGACGCAAAGCTCGCAGCCTCCTTGGTGCATGCAAGACGAGGCTGAGCACGCCTCCAAGCTCTTCTGACGCACATGTGCACTCCAATGAGACCGGTGTCGCACTGGCAGTCTTGTTGGTCCTTGGGGGCCGTCGAGGAGTGCCAGAAAGCAGAATTCCATCCTTCTTGCGCAGGTAGTTCCCCAGCTAGTCACTTTCTTGAAGACGACGTCGCACCCTCTCTGGGAAGCAAGCTTCGGGATGCTCTTGTGCACCCATTTGCAGGTCGGAACTGGAAGACACCGGACACCTTGAAATCGATCTTAAGGCTCAAAAGAAGAGAAGCAATTATGTATTCCACTCCATAACGAGGATGACTTCCCTCCTTTTGAAAGTTTCACAGGCAAAACTACTCCAGACGCCTCAGCAGCTCCTACAGCACAGTCTCGACCAAGAACTCAGCATTCTAACGCTCCAACAGCTACTGCCAATAAAGGCCCTTCAAGAGGTCTGGTCCGGTGAACCCGAAAACACAGCCAGTCACCTGCTAATACTAATATAATAATGCAACACATAAGCCCCAAAGCTTCGGAAGTGCGATTTGTACGTTAGCCATACAGCTACGCATCTTTGTCACGTATCTCAATTTTTCATTCGCACAAGCACTGGTTACAGTAATCGACATAATCTTGCCATTTTCCAGCTCCTGGTTTTAGTACTCTCGCCTTAATAAGGCCGGACTGCAATCGACAAAACAATTACTTCCTCGCTGCGTAAGACGCAGTTTAATACCTCAGATTCTTCAGTGGAATGTTAATGGACTACGAAAACAGATAGACGACTTTCGGCAATATAGACAAAGGCACCAAATTGAAGTGCCAGCCCTCCAAGAGGCAAACTCCAAACCATAATCGATTCGTCTATCGCCCTGTGTTATCTACAAAAGTACGCCTCGGACAACCTTCATTGCGTGCAATCCTCTCGCGATGCGCACCATTTTCCCTGTTTCTTGGGGCTTTTTACGCCCACAACGAGCCCTTGGGGGATGAGAAAACAACACCTCACGGGCGAATGCTAGAGGATGTCGCAACTGCCCTTGGTCTTCACAGCTTGAACGACGGAGTAGCAACCTTCGTACGACCTAGCGTGGAGAGAAGTGTACTTGACCTTAGCTTCACTACGGCCCCATTACGAGCCTTGTGGTCAACTGAGCCTGATAGCTGGTGCAACGACCACCTACCAATCAATATTACTTCCCTAGGAAGAGGCGCCACCACGAAAAAAACTAGCAACGTGACTAACTGGGATGCTTACCGCGTGATCTTTGCCGAAATAATGTCTCTAGGCAATATGGATTACACGAAAGCCGTCTCCAATGCGCTATCCAAAAGGACCTGAACCGTGATCATTCCCAAATACCGGCCAGATCCTTACCTAACAAACCTCAAGTTACGTGCCTCGCGACGCCGGGAACAGTGCCGAGTACTTAAAGCATCAAACGAAAGGACATTCATCGGTATAAAAAAAAATAAACAAAGCATTCCGCAAGCACACCAAACTATTCCAAAGAGGAAAATGGCGGCATCGTTGCGAGTCGCTTCACTCTTCAGGTGGAGGAACACAAGCGTGGCGCATAGCCCGTGTCCTTGCCGGGCACGCTGTTCCACTGTCACCGGTTCTCAGTTTTGCCATCGTCCAGAACATCACCGTGGCTAAAGCAGTAGAGTTCCTTGTCGATGAATTCACCTCTTTCGCTGTTTCACCCCAAGGCTATGCCGCGCATAGAACCACTACAAACACTTTACCAACAACACCGGCCGCTAGCGACGCGGACTTCACGATGAAGGACCTGCAACATGTTCTTCGCCGCTCTGCTGGCAAACCCAGAGCTCCAGGGACCTTTCAGGCCTTGCTCAATTTAGATGCAACGGTCCTTCCGGGCCT